GAACTAAAGCCAGCACACAGTTTTTTGCAGATACAGGTCTTATGGCCATGCTGTGTCGTCATGACCATGTTCTCTGGCTAGTAAACATGACTACTGCTGGAGAACGGCAATACTATGCTCTGGTATTGATAAAAATGCTATTTATGAATTTGCCTTTATCAATGACAGTTGGAATTTTGTATGACATTGGATGCCAGTTGGAGAGAAGTTGCCAAATCTGGGGGTTTCTGGAGGAATTCATGGCAAGAATCCTTTTTGCACTTGCAGTTTTCCATGCATATGATCACCAGTGGCCCTGCCAACTTGTTTATCACCCTCGTAAATGTGAGGGTTTTGGCCTCTCTGATGGTGAGGGTTGTGAACATTTCTGGAGTGCTATCAAGTTATTAATCCCTTCAATGCGTGTGGCAGGGGTAAGTGTCCTTCTCATATATATGTGAAGATAATCTGATAATTGACCCAAATAGTTCTATCATCGGCTGTTCACCATTGATACTCAGGTCAAGCATCTGGATAAAAAGTCTTTTGATACGATGGGTAAATGGCTTCAACGCAAATGGTTGACTTGCTTGCAAAGAAAAATTGAGGCTGAAGATATTCTCAATGAACTGGGGTTTGAAATTTCTTTGCTTGAAAATGAATGGAAGCAGCAAGTGGCTGCACAGACCAAGCCCTTGGCATGACAATCAAAGAATGTTGCAAATATTGCAATCAAGGAAATTTTGGCTTTATATACTGCAAAGAAAAGTTTTACAATGGAGTTGGGAGGGCTTGATGACCAGCTAATTTCAGGGGTCTATGAGGATGATTTGTCAGTGGAGGATGTTTTGGCTGCACGTAAAGCGATCATGAAGAAGCAAGGTGTGATTGATGCAAATATAAAGACAAAAAAGAAAAGGCTTGGGGTGAAAGATCAGGAAGATTTGAAAAAGTTGATGGGCAATAAGTTTCTTCAATTGAAACTTAATGCCAGGGCTCTTAAGCAAAGACTCAGAGATCATTTAAGAAATCGTAAGTTTGAATTGGAAAGGTTAGAGAGAGCATATCGACAAACAACTTCCAATGGTAAGGAGTTTTTCTAACACAGACCACTAGCTGTTTGTTGACTTATATTTTAATAGAGACTAAATTACATTCACATGTCCAGAAACAAGTCAATAGGCAGCAACCAACAATTGCTAGATTGGCAAAGAAGTACAATGACATGTGCTATGATATGACAAAGAAAATTCAGGAGGGAAAGGCCCCTGGTAATTCTATAGCCCCTGTGCCAATAAATCGAGAGCATTTATTTGCTCTGGATGTGGATGATGACATCTGGCAGGATGTTGGATTAGATGAGCATGAAAGTGAGGTTATACCTGGCTGGCTTGGGAATGAGAATATTCGTGAAGGAATCAAAGCAATGCTGATAGCCAAAAGATGTGCTGAAGAGATGGCTGGAATCAAACGAGAGTGAACAGCCTTGCAGGAGTGGTCAAGGGAGGAGTGGGAAGCTATCAATATGGCCATTCTTATGTGTGGTAAGCATGTTTTTATTTGTTTTTAGGGTGTCTCTAACTGTACTGTTATTTGTTACAGAGGATAAAGACATTGAGCATCAGTTGGTTATCAGAAAGTCAAGACATTTGAGTTTGGGTGCACAGTGGAGGGAACAGGTGTCTTTGATTCCTGGCACATATCCAATGCTGAAAGGATGGGGACCTGATATCAAGGATATGGAGACTGCATTGAAGGATTTGTCACAAGAAAATGTTGATGAAGAGGGAAGTGATGATGAACAGTTGAATTGCACATATAATGTTGAAGAAGTGGACAACAACAATGTTATTGAAGAGACAGAATCAATGGCAGTGTCAGATGCATTCAGGGTATCAGATAATGGGCTGGCCTTTGGGAGATGGGAGAGTGAGGATTTGTGGGAGGATCTGGAGGATGATGAAGAAGATATCTTGGATGTTGGAACATCTCGAAAGAGGTCAAGGCAGAAGTATTATAGGTAGGTTTGGTGGAAAAAGATTGGAATGAAGGTTCAATGGGCTGGTACAATTTGAGGCTTGGTTATGTTTTGAAATAACAATAAAATTGAATTAGCTGGCTGGTAGGAAATGATAAGTACTGTTAGTAGTTAGTTCATATCATTGTAGACTGGTACAATTTTGATTGGATATCTAGTTGGTGGGAGTGTTTATGTTAGATGTGTACCAAGAGTGTGGCATGACACTGCCATGGTATGGTATGGCTATGGTATGGTATGAGGTGGCAATACCATGGTATGGTATGGTATGACATTGGAATACCATGGTATGGTATGACATTGTGGTATGGTATGGTATGGCGGTATGGTATGGTATGACATTGCAATACCATGGTATGGTATGACATTGTGGTATGGTATGGTATGGCAGTATGGTATGGTATGATATTGCAATACCATGGTATGGTACAACATTGCAATACCATGGTATGGTAGTGGCATGATATCATCATACCACATGTGATATGAATAAGGCTGAACATAGTATCATGGGTTTTGGAAGTCATCACCAACAAGAGCTTCCTTAATCTGTAGCCCTGGCTCTTCAATTGACAAGACTTTGGATTGGATAGAATCACTCAGCTTTATTGGATTGGACCATGTATTTTCATAATGAAGACTTTGGCCAAACACTCAGGACAACAATACTTGATTCCATCATATGTAGCTTTTAAATAAACACTGGGTATATATATACACATTCTTCTTTGACAGCAACAGCATTGCACCTTTTGAATCCAAATTGCATGCTTTTGAAATGAATTATATGTGAAGTGGTACTTAATGTAGTTGATTAGTTGAAGTGCATATTTCGGGCTGTTGGATAATGATTTAGCTCAAGTCCAAGCTTTTGCAATAGATGGTATCATGCATGGTTCAGGACTTATAGCCAATACAGAAAACATCTTCTTTTCTTTCCTTCTCAAATACCACATCATCACAATGGATGCAGTATTGATTTATCTGTGATGAATATTGTTCTAATTGAAAGGACTGGGAAAGATATGTATCATTAAATGGCTTTGGATGCATGGGAAAGCTGGGATAAAGCTTATTTAAACTCATTTTCAATAGATGGTTTGGACTATCTTGCCTCAATTTGTAGCCTAATATCTCAGGAAAAACCTGGAGAACCACCCCACAAAAAATGGCACCCAATGGACCAGTATTGCAGCCTGCAGAAATAATTTATATATTTTGGAAAAGGACCCCAGACACCCTGTGACAGTTTTGGTATGATGGTATGGTATGGTATGAGATGAGATGGTATGGTATGGTAACATGGTATTGTAT